AATAGAACAAGCAGACTGCCTTCCTAATTAATTGCAGTTATAAATCAAGGCCTCTTCCTTTAAAGACCTAAGTTTAGCTTCAGCTACTCACAGCTCCTGTCCCTCACCCCTGGCCTCGTGCCCTGGCCTTCGCTGTTTGTTCCCACACCTGTATCTGCACAGTTCTTTGCTCTTCACTCTCCACCCCCACATGCTTCAGATCTGCACTATGGTTACAGGGGACCTGTTTCTGTGGTACTCTGTTCCACAGCGTGCTTCCGAGGTAATTTCCCCAGTGAATTCCAACTCCTTTCAGTTATCTCTGTCCTTATTCTTCTTCAATGGAGAAAAGGTGTGTGTGTGTGTGTGTGAGAGAGAGAGAGAGAGAGAGAGAGAGAGAAAGAGAGAGAATCTCCTAGCAACTCAGATATCAGACTTTCTCCAGTTAATTTTCTTCTTTCTGTTTTTGTACTTTATGAGGAAAAGCTGCTTCTGACCCTATCCTTTTCCGTGGTATAAACCTAACCTGTTTGCAACATTTATTAACACCTCTTGGATTTATGTCTGTAATAACAAGAAGTAATTGTTTTCTTTTTTAAGTACTTTAACTTCTAGAAGTTAGAAGAGTTCCTTTGGGACTGAAAAATGACCTGAACTAAAACCGGTTCCTGTCACTTGGGGGAGACAGTGATATAGAAAACACCAACCAAGCAAGTGTGGCACAGACATCCAGAGTAGTGTGGTGAAATGTTAAAGTAAAAGCCTACAGGATAAAGACCTCTCAGAGAGAGGAAGAGAGAATACCTTTAGTAATTTTTAAGCATCGAAGATGATTCTGCAAAACTTCTGGGCAATAGTGAAGACGTGAAGGTCAGAAAGCAGCAGTGTTTTGATGTTTACATTTCAGTTTGGTTTCTGATAACTTGAGAGTCTATAAGTTAGATAATTTTTCTTTTTTCTCTTGAGGTCTTGAGATAACCCATTCAGTTTTGCAGATGTTCATTCAAAGAAAGCATCAGAATTATTAGATCTTTCGATAACTGTTGAAATGATGACTCATAAGATCTTCATAAGACTTGCATCAAATGAACACAGTTCAGCAAGTTTTTAATATCATAAAAAGGCTGTAATTCTCTTCCTCCTCCTCCTTTTCGGTATCAGGAATCAAACTCAGGACCTTGCACTTGCCACACAGGCGCTTAAGCTGCTGAGTTATATCCCAGACAAAAAACACTTGTTAAAATATTCATGTCCTCCTTTGTCTTCGCTCTTTCAAACACATACTGACATTGTCCTCTAGCCTAATTTGTGCCTAACTTTACGTTAGTCTTGTCCCTCTTTCCCTGTTCTGCTCCATGGGAGACCCCAAACGGACTCTGCTGGGAGGATTAGGGAGAGGAAAACGTTGAGTGGGAAGAATCAGAAGTTTCTCTAACTCCTAGGGCCTCTGGAAGGGCTGGGACATGATTTGCCTGATTAGACTTCTGTTTTGGTAGCAAAGCTAATTATAGTTTCCTTGAAGCATCTGAGCACATCTCTCCAGGTCATTTGGGCCAATTATCCCCACTAGTGATAATGTTATAGTGCTAAGACAGTACATGTGAGGTTAAGAGTCTTGCTGTGTTTGTGGGTGGTAAATTCAATCACATTCAGTTTCTGCCGTTAACAAAGAAAGGGAGCAGCTTATGCTGTAATGAAGCTGGCTCTCTCACGATGAACCCGAGGTTCACTGTCGCCTGAGTCACATATGTACCCTTCCTGATAAGAGGATGGAAGGTGGAAGGCCTATAGGGAAGATGAAAGCAAACAGTAAAATTATATGTCATTGTACAAAAGAGAGGAAAAGAAAGTGCTCTAAAGGATGTAACTGCATGTATATCTAAGTGTGTAAGATAGAAACCATATTACTGAGTTTTGTTGGATCATTGAACAGAACTGTTTGCTGTCTCACTATTTGAATGTCCACTTTATAAGCTTTAATTTTGTAACTTGAACAACGATTTCTAAGATGACAGTAGGTAATCTATTAACTAGTGATTTCCTACTGTTTATTTTTTCTGAAATTCTGTATAACTTGTACCCTTTTTCTTTTTCTCCTTAAAAATTTTTTTAAAAAGTTAAAAAAATTTAGAACAACTTAAATTAACAGCTACACTAAAAAATAAAATAAAATAAAATTATATCCTTATTGTGGAGAGAATGGTGGTTAGTGATCCATGTAATGCCATGACAAATCAGGTATGGCACAGGAGAAAGGCCAGGTAGTTGTTTTAGACTGAATTGGATTAATTATGTTTTCAGTAAGTTGTGATGAGTCTGTTCCAGTCTTCAGTTTTTTATGATCTAAATTATCATTCTAATGCTTCCTCTGAGCATGACTAGGCTTTGAAAGACTAATCCAATCTCTCAAGAGACAGGCCAGTAAGCGGGTTTCCGGGAAGAACATAAACTTCTAGAGATACTGAACAAGGATGCTATATTCCCATCCAGGAAAGCTTATTTATAATAGGATATTCATTACATGTTTTGCTCCGGTTCATGCTCTTCTTTTGACCTCTACTCCTTTCCTTAACATCTAGTGGGCCTTCACAACCTTATTTAGCACAACTGATTATCATTCTAGTTCTTGGATCTGGTATCCCTAGACCCTCTTGGAGTCTCCAGAGCAACACCAGAGGCAACTCTTTGGGAAGGAAATCTCTGCCTTAACCCTCCTTGCCCATATTAGACAAGTCTTCTTGAGCCACTCTTTGTGGACAAATTTTTCTGGAGCATTGATGTTCAAGCGTGATCCCTTGGCCATCTGAAGTGGCAAGATGTTTCTGCTGTTCTGTGTGAACACAGGGAACTTGTCCTTCGCATTACTAAGTGCGTCACATTCCCATCACCCAGCAGCTGGGCCACATGCCCTCTGCTTCTCTCTCCTCAGCATTCTTTAACAGGTACCACATGCTCCTACTATTAAGAAGCGTGGCATGAAGCCATGTTGCAGTGTCTAGGTAGAGTTTATCTCACGTGCTGGGTGAGTGACTCTGGCATTTATCACGGGAAGGGCTCTGAAATATGGTCAGAAAATGTCAGGTCATCAACTGTGCCTGATTTCCATTTGTTCTGTTGTCAGATAGGGGTATTCCCTGATCTTGTCCCCACATATTGTGGTAGTTAAAATTTAGGAGTCTCTAAACATAAAATCATATGCTGAAGCATAATAGTAACTGTTCACCTATCAGCATACTTGAATTGATCACTGGGGATTTCAGAAATCTTTTTTTTTTTTTTTTTGTGGTACTGAGGATTGAACTCATGACCTTATGCTTGCCAGGCAGGTGCTTATGCCGCTGAGTGAAACCTCCAACAAACTGCAAACATCTTAACTATCAGATTAGGTTTACCTTTGAGCTGAAATAAAGGAAAAAGACTTTGAAAGATGCTAATGGAGTGGGGCATGAGATCAGGTATCCTGGAGAAAAAGGAGACAGGTTTTAGAGATCCCAGGGTGCTGGGTCATTAGGGATCAGTAATATATGCCAAATTTTCCTTCTGTGCTGTGAAAGAGCCTTTCAGCAGATGGACATAACTAGTCTGTTCTTATGCAATGTAGTTGCCTCAAAGAGTACAAATAGTATAAATGTGAACATCTGGTTTGTATCACTGAAGACTTTTGGGCATACAGCCCTATGTTTAGGAGAGTAGACATGAAGCACATCAAACAGTGGTATCTCCAAGAGACAGTGGGAATAGGATGGGGAGGGACCTGCGTTTCTTTTAATCTCCAAGAGGGGGAAATTTCCCTTAAAAAACTTAACCAAGTAATATGTGAAAATCATTTTTGGCCATTTGTGGACTGTGAGGAGCAAGAATCAGGCCTCACAAGGAGGTGATCCCCGCCTGGAAACCAGGACCATGTGCTGGCTGCGCTGCTGGAGTGGGGACAGCCACACCCGAGCCTCTCTCCCTGAGTCAGCACCATTCACAGCCTGCAGCGGGAGAGAACCAGGCCTCACCGGGAAGTAATCCCTGCCTGGAAGCCATATCATTTTCACTGTTTTGTTGGGTTGGATTTTATTTCCTTTTTTTTTGATTATGTTAAATTTGATGACATGAGCAGCTATTTAAAAGATAGCAAGACATATTATGGTAGCCATTTTGTATTTACTATTGGCTGGTTTTGAAGTCCTTTATTGCATTCATTGTTTTGTTTTTATTGTTTCTGTTCTATTTGATTTTTACCATGTCCGAAGGTATCTGCAGCTTTTTGAAGATATCAAAAGGCACTATGGTAACTATTGTTGATTTTTAAGGTTTTGAAATCCTGTATCACTTATAACGGTTTGCTTTAATTGGTTTTATTTTCCTTGGTTTTTATCCTCTTTAGAAAAAAGAGGAAAAAAAGAAAATCATTTTTAGAAACCAAACACAGGAGTTCCAGTAATGACAGTTGTCTCCTACCTTGGTCACCAGGACACTTTCAGTGCTTTTACTATTTCTCATGTATGTGTTTCTGCACTCTGAATGTAATAATATTATCAGCTAAAATCTCTCGCTTTATCTGTCCTAGATACGCATCTCTTAATTCATTAGAAGAGTAGATGAGGATTTAACTTTCTTTCATATAACCCCCAGCCTCTTCCAGTCTCAGGTTCTGCTCTCTTTCCAAGTAGCTAGAACTTGAGGTAGCCGAATGCTGTGAACAGCAGCTGCTCTGGATCCAGACTGCTTAGATTTGAATTTCAATTATGTGACCTTGAGTAAGGTACTTAAGCTCTGTGCTTCAGTATTTTTATCTTTAAAATAGTACTTGATGATAGTAGCACATAGATTGGTAGGATCATTGGAAAAATCAAGCCTTTGGGGAGCAGTTAAATTGGCATATAGTGTGCCATAAACGTTAGCTTCAATGAAAAACTTTTGGTTAAATCAAGTTTTCATGTTTAGATTACCAAAAATATACAAATATTAGTTTTTACTAATGCACAAATATTGGTAAAAATGCAATAAAAGACTTCAAAACTGTGCAAAACTTTTTCTACTTGTACAAATTTTATTTTCTTTGAATTAATAATTGTATTGTTTTTCTACTTGCTTAGTTGTTTGTAGGCCTATTATTAATTTCCAAATCTTCCAGAAACCTCTTTAAAAAGTCAAGTGGTCCATCAGCTCCGTTTCCCACATTGACCCTCTTCCAGGGACCCTCACAGCTGCACAAAAGTCATCTTAGAGCCACCATCCACCTCCAGCCTTGTAATTCTTCTGCTTCTCATCTGTGTTCAATCCCATATTCTTAATCCTGTGTCTTCCTTTTCCTTGCAGTAGTCCCTCATTTTGGTAGAGAAAGGCTGCAGAGAAAGGTGCATAGAAGGAAAAATTTATAAAACCCTGTGGGCCAGGGGCTGGGGATTTAGCTCAGCGGCATAAGCACCTGCCTTGCAAACAGGCAGTCGTGAGTCCCCCCCCCCCCCCCCCGCCCAGGTACCTGAAAAAAGAAAAGAAAAAAACAAAACAAAAAAACCCCTGTGGGCCTAAAGGTATCTATTTTCTACCCAGCAGTAGGATCTGAGGAGAGGATTTAGGATTCCACTCTTTGGTGCACAAAATTTTAAGTAGTCCTTTTGTTTTAAGATTTGTGCTTTGTTCTGGTTTCTTCTAGGCCTTTGTCCTTAAACCTGAAACTTTCTTTCGTTCTTTCTCTGGAAATAGGGATACTATTGCATTGTTGGAGGAATTAAATGACTAAACCCATGCAAAATATTTACCACATGTCCTGCACATAGTAAATTCTCAGAAAATTAGGATTATTATACTTTCTTTCAACATTAACATTTTTAACCTATTGAAGTAGGTACTCAGGCCACCTAAAGATGAGAGGAATATGTGTGAGCCAGAGTGTTACTGCATTAGATGGAATACTACCTTTGAGGAGATGCAGAAGAAAAGGATAAGTTATTCAAGCTTTGTGGTGAAAATAAGTGCTAATATGACTGTCTTGTGACTTGGAAGGGAAAAGAATTTTGTATTTGGTCTTTTAATATAATGTCTGCTTGTTCATACTCTGTTCAGAATACTAGTCTCTTTTTCCTTAACCTTGGTGAATTCTGTGCTAAAAATATTGCCTTCCCATTTGGTGCAGTGAAATGTCATACCCACTAAACACCAACATACCAAATGTTGCCTGCAGATCCTCCACCCAAAAAAACTCACGTCAACATTAAACTGTGATCTTCTTTGGCATCACACTGCACATCTCAACAGATTATTCTACAGCATTATCTGAATCTTACGTGTTACGTTAATTTCTTAGAATCATGAGAATAAAAACTCTTCTATTATAAAGAAAGTAGAACTGGGTCAAAATCTCCAAACTCCCAACTTGATATTTTTCCCTATTAGAAGAAAGAATTACAGAATTTTCAGATGATCTCATCTGGTTCCAGTATTTTATAGAAAACTAAGACCAAAGAAATGTTCTTTGCCAGGGTAATACTGTTCACTAATTGATATCCTGAGCTTGATGCTCTTAACAAACTACTGTGATCATTTATCCTTGAGGCAAAATACCAAATCCCAGTTAGTGCACTGATGATGGACTATTAACTATCATTCAGGGAATGTTTCTTTTTCTTTTTTTGGTACCAGGGATTGAATGCACAACATCATGATTGCCAGGCAGGTGCTTATGCCAGTGAGCTAATCCTCAGCCCAACGAATGTTTAAAAATAAGAACTCATGGATTGCATTTTCTGAAGATTCAGGTTTGTGGGGCCCTCAGAACCTATACATTTGTTTCATTATAGGGTGATTCTAGGGGGAGATATCAGATTGGAACAGATGTTACTGTTCTGTGTTTTACTCTTTACTAAGATTGGCTCATGATACTTTCTAACTAATGAATAGATAACTGCAGGAAAGCTGAGTCAGGAGAGGTTCTGCCCCACTTAAGAGCTTTTAACTGTAAACCAAACTCAGGGTGCTGAGAGAGAGCAGAGATGGCTACTGACGGTATCCTTGCCAGGTGGAGATGGATCTGAGATGGAAGCACGTCCAGGAAGAGAACAGAAAGTGATCTAGGAACACTGGGAAAACATACTTTTAAAACAAAATATGTTATTTTAAATATTTTAAAAATCATTTTGAGAGAACACAATTTAAAAATGTATATAGAAAATGTAACAGAATATCATGAATAACAGACAAAAATGGGAGAATGCATTTTGTGATTTTTTGCAAAATAAGAGATAGAAAGGATCTATGGAATCTTTTACTGAAGAGATTTTAGACACATTTGGGGATGGGATCTTTCCTGTAACTTCAGCTCTCTGATACAGGTTCTCCACATATACAGTAAGGCCGTGATTTATGAATGTTCGAGTTGTGAAGTTTCACTGATACAAACTAACCTCACATCATGAATATTCCTAGATGGAAACAAATTGTGGAAGCACCTTATATGTTTCCCGAACATTGTGTGACAGATGTGTTGTGTGCTTACATGCAGTGTGCAGTGTGATAATGTGCAGTACAGTACAGCTGGGGACTTTATTTTTTGTGTTTTTTAATGCTTTACATTGTATATTTGTGTCAAAGATATATAAGACTCATTTTGTCAGACTTCCAAATGAATACAACTTACTAATGTTCTCTTGGAACGCAGCTCATTCATAAGTTGGGGACTTACTGTACCAGGTCTCTTACATCTGTTGTTTTGCCTGTCCAGAATTCTTTCTTTTTTAAAATAACACTCTAATCTTACTTTAGGGAATCACTTTTACCTCACATTGTATCTACATGGTTCCCATTCATGGGTTCCAGGTTCTTGTAGTTAGGGGTTGTGCAGAGAACAATTAGGATCAGGGCATGGAATTTATAATATTGTTTTATGATGCTCACCCAGAGTTAACACAAGAAAATGCAGGAAATCTATCTACAACACTAAAAACATAGAATATTTAGCTAAGGGCCTGAATCCCACAGCAATGTCCCACATGAGTCCAGATGAAGACCCAGAGCTCATGACAATGCCTCCCATAAGTCTAACTGGAGGTCTAGAGCCCACGAGAAGGACCCACGCCAGTCTCTTTTACGGATCTGTGCTGGGAAGGCCCAAAGGTCAGCGGTGGAAGCTATAAAGTCCATGCCAGTGAGGTGAAGGAGCTGTGCTGGTAGGTTGAGGGGTCTATGCTGGAGCTGAAAAGTCACACTCACAACAAAGACCAGGGCTGTCCTGAAAAGCACCACAGCCATCCTCAGCGATATGGAGGCCCCGAGCTCCTCCTCTGACAAGCACAGTCGAGTACATGCCAGGAAGCCAGCATGACAAGTTCATCCTGGAGGCCAAGTAGCACACATCTTCCTCTCCAGAGCCAGGAAGCAGTGCTCGATGTGAGGACCAGAGCTTCTCCAGGAGGACCTAATGGGTCAAACAGCAACATGTAGAAGAACCTACAATGCCTCAGTACCTCAATGTGTTAACACACCTCAACGCATAGTTTCTCCTTCTCCATGTCTCTATTTGTGCTGGCAACCTTCCTCGCGTGAAACATCTACACTCAGCAGCACTGTGGTGGTGTAATCCAACTGGTGTTAAGTTGACCACCAGTTTTTAATCCATAACACAAGTGTAGCACATGGTCCATATTTGAGTTTTCTATCCTTAGCCACAATAGTTAATGTCAGACATAGGCACCAGGTCAATGAGTGTCAGTTCTGAACTTTTGCTAGATCTACCGGGAAAGAGTAGTTTCCAGTCTTTCTTCTGAGCTTGGCTAAACTGGCAACATTTATATTGGAGCTGCTGGTAGGTAGTTTTACAACATGGAAGGAAAAGCTGACTTAGGAGAAAGTCAACACAAAAGAAAATAGGCCAAGAGTTAGAGAACAACAGGTTTATGAAAATGTTGTATAAGTATCTGGTTCAAGTATCTCTGAAACACATAGCTTTATTTGCGTGCCTCAGTCTTGCATTTTAACCAGGTTAGTTGGGTTTCAAAGAGTTAAAACCAAAAGAAGAAGAAAGAGGAGGAGGAAGAGGAAAAGGAGGAGGAGGAGGAAGACGAGGAGGAGGAGGAGGAGGAAGGTGAGGAGGAGGAAGAGAAGAAGAAGAAGAAGAAGAAGAAGAAGAAGAAGAAGAAGAAGAAGAAGAAGAAGAAGAAGAAGAAGAAGGAAAATCCTGATCTTACTTCCGGGAGAACATGGCGGACAGATAACAGCAACTACCGGAGGCTCTCTGAAAGACTCGGCTCAGAAGCCAGGAATGGTGCGGACTAAGGAGACATAAGCAGGTGGAGATATGCTCTGCTGACTCAGGAACAAACTGGGCTGAGAGAAACCAACTTGGAATGCAGTCCTGGCACTAAAACAGGAACAGAAAAGCCTCGGTGTGGAGGCTGGACCCCGCGCCATTGTAAGCCGCGATTTGGGTTTCCCGCCGCCTGGTGGCTGGCTGCCTCTACAGTGGCTCGGCAAGGAGAGAGACGTGCAGAAGCTCTGAGAGCGGCAATCTGCGAACGGCAGGGAGGCGTGCACTGACTTGTGGTGAGGTGAGTGAGAGAAACTGACACTCTACCACAGTTTGACTCCAGCGGAAGACTTTCTGGGCCCGAGCAGTCCTGCGGGAGCAGGGCGCGGTGGCGACTCCAGCCACACATCCCCCTCTCGGGTGAAAAGTGCCTGGCCTGCGTGACGCTGCCGGCGGACCTGGTAGGCTGTCCCAACCCAGATCCCAGAGCCTGACGGTGGCCGGGAGGGGAGACGTATAGGCTGCCTGGTCCGTAACTCCCTGGTGCGCAGCGGTGAGCGGGAACACCTAACTGGCGCAATTCAATCAGGCTGTGGCTGACTGGGAGAGAAGCTGGGCCTCTTATATAAGCTTGCATATATAAGGAACAGAGAAGAAGAGGCAGCATGGGAAGAGGCAGCAACAAGAAAGGCTCCTCGGCCCCCAATTCTGAGAAACAGGCAATAGCAGACACCGCACCAATACACATAAGGCACCATATAGAGAGCCTCATAGACCAATTCAGGAATGAAGTTATCAATGACCTGAAGCTAGAAGTATGCAGAATAGTTAGAGAAATGCTAAGTACTACCCAGGAAAAAACAGGTGGTGGAATGGAAGAACAGAAAAAAAGGGGAGAATTGTTTGATGGAGAAAACAGAGAAAGCATAGAATACGTGAAGCAGGTTCAAAGGGACTACCAAGATACTAAGAAGTCTATAGAAGACTGGCATAACAGCTTGAAAGAAACTAAGGACAGACTATCTGAACTGGAGGGCAGACTTGTAATATGGGAGAATGAAATGAAAAACTTCTTAAAAATAACAAAGAAACAAACAGCAATAATACAAAGACAAGAAGATGATAAGAGGATCCATAACTTAAGGATTAAGAACATAAAAGAAGAAGTAGGGACACAAACAAGTGAACTACAAAAACTACTCACAGAAATAATCCAGGAGAATTTTCCTAATTTAGCAAAAGGTAAAGATACTCAGATGTATGAGGCATACAGGACCCCAGCTACCTACAACCCAAACAGAGCAACACCCAGGCATATAATAATAAAAATTCCAGAAATTCAATACAAGAACAGAATATTAAAAGCTGTAAGAGACAAGAAACAGACCACTTACAAGGGAACACCCATCAGAATTACAGCAGATTTCTCTGTACAAACCATCAAATCACGAAGAGCGTGGGGGGAAATAATTCAAGCTTTGAAAGATAATAATCTCCAGCCAAGATTGAGATATCCTGCACAACTGTCCCTGGAAATTGATGGAAAAACAAGGTGCTTCCAGGATAAAGAGGAACTGGGGGAATTTGCAACCACCAATTCAACTCTACAGAGAGTATTGCAGGATATTCTAAAAAAAGAAAAATACAAAGAATCCAGAAATAATGGCAGAGAGGCCACAACGAATGGAGCAGAGAACAAAATGAAGAAGACAAACTGACAGCTACTGACAGAAAAAGAGCTCAATAGAAATGAGGCAGAGAAGATTGGATGATAGGAACAGCTATTTTGGAGAAAATGACATCTTAATAGGTAATACTGATTTAGTATCATCTTGTTTTGAAGTCTCATCTAGCTTTTGTCCTTCTGTCTCCAATGGTCTAAATAGGCTGTATCTTATTGGATTTTATTATGTACGATAGTATAAGCAAAAACCTTTTAAAGACAAGGAGATTATACAGAAACCATTGTTCATTTTCTGTTAGTCGATTCTAAATACTCTGTAATGCTGTCATTCTCTTGAATGGTTTTACATTGTTTTGATATACTTAATGCTACAGTATACGAAGTTGTACTCAAGGATTTCAAAGAAAGAGACAATATGGTAACTACTTTTAGGTTAGAATTATCTGGTGGTGAAACACTATTCTGCTTAAATGGTTATGCTTTGATCTGCGCTGTTTCATTGTTATGCCCTCTTTTATCTCAATCTCCACTCCATTATTTACTTATCTTTATCCTTTTAATTAAAGGAAAAAAAATAGCAGGATATATTATAGTAACCCACTTTGACTTTTCATTACCTTGATTTAAAACCCTGTATTACTCTCACCATCTGATTTTTGACTGATGTTCCCCTATTCTGTTTTGCTGGATAGTATCAGGTTTGAAAGTTTAGGCATCAGCTGTGAAGATAATGAGATTCATTATGACCCCCATTCTTGTTGACTTTTATCTACTTTTGAAGACCTACAATGTCTCCAATGTTTTGGTTTTGTCAGTTTTATTCTTTACTGTTTTGTTCAATTGTATTATAACTAACGATATAGGCAATTCTATTAGAGATAGCGGGAGGCATTATGGTAACCATTGTTGATCACCTTGTATTATGTTTTTACATTATCTATTATGTCCACCCTTTTGACTTGACTGATTCTGTTCTGTTATGTCACATTTGGTTTTACTCTCTTCCAAAAAAGTAATAAGAACGGTGGGAGCAATGAAACCCAAAATGTGTAATAGTCATGGTACAAAAGAGAGGAAAAGAAAGTGCTCCAAACTATATAACTGCATGTATATTTAAGTGTATAAGATAGAAAATGATATCACAGAGTTTTATTGGATCAATGAACAGAACTGTTTGCAGTATCATTGATGGAATGTCTACTTTACAAGCTTTAATTTTGTGACTTGAACAATTATTTCTAAGATGACAATATGTAATCCATTAACTAGTGATTTCCTACTGTTCATTTTTTTCTGTAGATCTGTATAACTTGTACCCTTTCCCTGCTTTTTTTTCTTTTCTCCTTAAATAAAATTAAAAAAAAATTAAAAAAAAAAAAGAAAATCCTGATCTTTCTATTGCACGTGTTGTGTTGTTTAACTTCATACTGCAGGAATGTGATAAGAGTAGTTTAAAGGAGAAGAGGCTCACAGTTTCAGAGGGTTCAGTCCATGGTTAGCTGGCTGCAAAGCAGAAGTATTATGACAGAAGGACATTGAGCAGAAAGGCTGATAAACTCATGACATTTGGAACCAGAGCAGGGGAAAGGTGCCAGAAAGGAAAGGACTGGGACTCATACAGTCCTCAAGGTCATGTGTCTATGATTCATCCAGAGATACTCAGATGTGTGCTTTATCAGTCTCCTAGGCATCTCTCAAGCCAATTAATTCAACAATCAATATTAATCATCTCATCCATTGAGAGTTTACAGGGTTTGGGAACAGGAAATGGGAGTGATTTTTCTTCACCAGATCTCTCACATATGTTAGTCTAGGAAATTTGTCCAAAGTTACATGGCTAGAATATAGTAAATCTGAGTTCAATTCTTTTTTCATTAAAAAAATACAATATATTTTTTTAAAAAGTGGAGGCATACATTACTATGCTAACAGACAATATGGTAGGATTGCTTCATGTTTAAATTTTTTATTAGGACATATTGCTTATACAGATTATTGGGTTTCATTTTGGCAGAATTGTATATGCATGTAACATATTTAATCATTTTCACCACCTCCATTACCTCTTGTCCAACCCTCCTTCCTAGTCTCACATTTTTCATTTTAAATGAATATAATACATTTTGATCATGTCTGACCCCTCATAAGCTGTCCTTACACCCTCCTCTCCTCCCTCTTACATACTAATAGCTCCTCTTCTATTTTCTTGTCATATGTTTTAGATTCCACATATAATGGAAAATGTGATATTTGTCTTTCTGACTCTGGCTCATCCTACTCAGAATGATGATTCTAGCTCCATTTATTCAGAGTCATTTCATTTTATCATTCAAGGATATCTAACTTTTATTGACACAAAAGCCAGAATGAAATTTAGACTTATTTTCTATAGTGGTCTCTTCACTGCTAATAATATTAACTACATTTCAACAAAAACAAGTCTTATTTAAACACAAGTAATTTCCTTGAGATGAATGTCCCTCACTAAGAATGCATGCATGTCATAGACTGTTGTCTTCATGTTTGAGCATGAGAGTGCTGGTGGGTGGTCTTCTCACTTCACTCCACGGTCCCTCTCTTGGAATGGTTATCTGCATTCCATGGCATCATGCCCCAAATTTTTGTTTTACATATTTCTAGAATTCCACAGACACCCCCTGCTTTCACAGAGAAAGCTGTGATGTACCTGGGAATCTTCCTCCTAATCTGCTGGACAATTATAGTTCCTGTGTGACAGTGTACCACTGTGTGATTCATTCAAACTTAGGAACAGAGTGAGAGTTCTGAAAATCATCTTACAGGGGGAAAGATTTGTTTTGACTCATGGTTTGAGAGATTTCAACCGTATCTGGCTGGTTCTGAGGCAGAAATATCATAATGGGAGGGCGTAGTGGAGCAAAGCTGCTTACTGTGTGGCAGCCAGAAACATAAAAAACAAGGGAGAGGAAGAGAAAGAGGATAAGAATAGGAAGAAAGAGAGAGAGAAGGAGAGAGATGGAGTGAGAGGAGAGGGAAGGGAAAGAGGACACTAAGATATAGTGTCCTCACACACTAAGGTCATGCTTTAAGGGTTCATTCACTTCAGCTAGCCCTCCTCTCCTGTTTCCACTCTGTCTGTCTGTCTACCTTTCTGTCTTAATGATGATCAAACTTCCAACAGGTTTCTATGCTCAGGCTGTTCCATGTTGGTAGTTAGATAATTGAGGATTGGCAAATTGTGTAGGTAGAAGGTAGACAAAATAGAGAATGGTGGAGTATGAGGAAAAGTACCACTGTAGGTCTTCAAAAGGTGACATCTGTGAAGGTCCTACTACCCCTTGGTACACCCAAAACATTTCACTGTCCTTCCATGTCCGCCTGTTATGATGTAGATCTAGAATGTTTCCAAAAGTCTGTGATCAGAGATGGGGCTTTTGGACTGTGATTGGATCATGGCGTGCTAGACATCTGTGGATTAATCCACTGATATATTTGTGTGCTGCCAGGAGGTGGGAACTGGTCAGAGGGATGGGTTACAGGGGATGTGACCTAGAAGAGTGTATACTTCTCCTTGGTTTCACCCTGCATTTCCTACATGGCCCTTCTGCTGTGGTGTTTTTGTCTTAGTCCAACCAACCATGCACTAAAACCATGAGCCAAAATAAATCTCTTCTTCTTTAAGTTGCATGTGTTGTATAAGTTGTCCTGCAATGGGAAAGTATATAATATACTTCCTCTCTTTCTTATCCCTTCATTCTTTTTTTTTAAACTTTCTGTAGTTTCCCTCGGACTATGCAGTTTCATGCCTCTGCTTCTTTCTTAGCTTCTACTTCAGATTCCTCTGGATTTTCCCACAAGCTTGCCACTCTTCTGGTGCATAGGCCATTTGGTTACTCCAACATAGTAGCTTCCCAGTCATCATTCTCTCATGGCACCCCACTCAGACACCTCTTCAGTGCTGACACACTCATCCTGCACCCGCTGTAGGTATGATATGTAGGTTAATGATATCTTGAGTATACTCCTCTCTGTAGGGTTGTCATCAGCAAGCTGGAACTTCCTCTAGTGATGATCGGGTAAGGGGCTACACCAATCCATCCTTCATGTCTCAAGGCAAGACACATCTGAGCAACAGTTCAAGCTCATATTGGGATCAGGTTGTAAGTCTTCTCAAGTGTTTGCTCAGCATCTTCCTCTCCCCTATACATGTTTCTTTACAGCTGTGTTCCAAGAGCACTCCATCAACAAATCTCTCTGCTTCTAAGGAGCCTGATTTATGGTCACACTCTTGCAAATCTGGTGCTTATGGCTAATTGGCTCAGGAGAGAGAAATGTCTGGGCTCAGACCAGCTGAACTCAGCTTCTTTGTTGTACACCTAAACTGGGAGTTACTCCAGATCTGATCATCTGTGGCTGGAGAGGGGATAAAGTCTATTTATGACAGGGCAGATGCCCTCCCCCTCAATGTTTCTTAGATTTATTTTCCTTTCTTTCTCACTTCTTTCTCTTCCCATCGACAGTTCTGGGTTAGGGCTACACAGTAAGCTTTTGAATGAAGAGAAGACTAGTCTGAGTATTGGAAGGCCTGAGTAATATCCTAAATCAGGAAGCTTGTTTTGCAACTCTAGGCCTCAGGATTTTAGGGAAGCTAGAGAGTCAGTTTGTTAACTTAAATAGTCTATTGATCTCTGAGAATTAACAGGGCAGAATTTAGGCCTTTTTCTCCTTGAATGTAACACAATGCCTAGTACAGGATAAGAACAGATATCATACTGATAAAAAATGAAGTGAATTACATAAGATATGGAGTATGATTGAGGAGTGGACAGTATCCATCACTCAGTGAGTGCTCACAGGCACCAGTTCCTTGGGAAGCACTTTATGTTCTCTGACTACTGTTGCTTCATAACAAATCACTCTGAAATGCCATTTAAAGCAAACATTTTATTATGCTCTTAGAGTATAGGGGTTAAGAAGTTGGACAGGGCATCATGGGGATGGATTTTCTCTGCTCCATAATGTCTGTGGCTTCACTTGGGAAGGGCTGATGTCTGGTTGTAACTTGACAGCAGGAGATGGAACCACGGAAGCATCTTCACTTCCAGGACTAGAAGTTGGTGATGGCTGTTTGTGAGACTTGGCTAAAGCACCAACATGTGATTTCTTCATTGGCCCTGGGCTTCAGGACAGGATGGTAGCCCCAGGCTAGTATAACTTCCTACATAGCTGTTAAAAGGTCCATGTACAGTGTCCAAATTTATAAAGCAGATGCTTTACCATTTTTAAGACAGCCTCAGAATTCAAACTGCATGATTTCCATTACATTCTATGGGTTACAAGTGAGTAACAAACCACCTGGATAGAACAAGTGACTTAGGTGCCACCTCTTGATGAGGTGGGGCAAGAGTTACAGAGCACAGGGGATGGGGAGAAATGGAAGTGACCACATGTGGAAAATACAACGTGCGGCACATGTGCCTCCTCATTTACTCCTCCCCTTACTCTTGAATGCATTATTGCCCCGCTTTACAAATGAAGTACAGGCTCAGCTTAGTGAAGTCACTTGCTGATGGCAAAGCCAATGCATGGCACAGCTGGATTTAAATCCAGTCTGTACCAAATGGGTGTTCTCCAACAGCGTATGATTCTGTTCACAGAAACAGAGAACTGAGCCAACAGTAAGAGAAATTTCAAGGTTAGTTCTTCCTAGGTGTAGCTCAGCAGTGAGTAAGTGTTCTTTTCTTCTGTAACCCTGATGCCAAACCTCACAGCTTTTCTGTATGGATAAAGAAATCTGGTTCTTGTTCTCATAACTCCCCAGGGTGTGCTGCCAGGAGGCTGTGTAAATATTGTCTGTGCCTTTGATGATTTGGCCTGCCAGATCTGGGTTGGGCGGAGAGGCTGTGGCCTGCCTTCCTTTACCCAGAGTATCTGGCAAAACAGTCTGGTAGACGGTGAGTAGGAGCAAACTCTGATCCCCCTCCATAAAGTCAGCACATGCAACTCATTTCTGCCAGGAATATCTTCTCTGCCATGATCCTCTATAGAAATCATACTTTTCCTTTAAATTTCAGTGAAGATGACAATGTCCTGGAAGTTGTACTTGATACTCCCGTGTTACTTATAATCTGAAATGTTCACATGATTTCTGGCACTTGATGCTTACTCTGCTAGATTTTGTATTTTAATCCAGTTCTTCTCTTAAGACCTCAGAGGGCAAGGATCAGGCCCTGCCCTTCTTCAGTACTCCCCTTGTCATTCTTAATAAGTATCCAGTAAGTACTGACTGACAAGGCCTCACACGTTCAGTGTGAGAGAAGGGCTCATATGCTTCTTCTGAGAGCCTGATACAGCACAGGCATTGTGCCAGGTGCCAAGGACCCCACGATCTAGAAACAGAAATCCAGAAAACTCAAGATGAGCCTTCTGAATACTGTGCAGCAGTCAGTAAGATCAAAATCAGTATCTAAAAGTGCAGCACGCTTGATCAGACCAGAGGCCTTCGAATAGGTAGATTTGAGGCAGGTGCTGTAAAGTTACAATTTCTATATGCTGCCAGACGATGCTAGTCAGACATTTAGTCCCTGAATAGGGATTTTCAAATCCTAAATATTAATGTTTAATTTTTCTATACATTGTCTGAATGATGTAGTTAAGCCTGAGCTCTCAAACAAGAAAGGATGATCGATTTCCACATTTATTTCAAACTAGGCTTTCTGTAACAGGCAAAATTTCTGTACTCTTGTTTTTATTTGTCAAAATTTTACTTCAGAGTGTCCCTAAAATCTATGACCTCTGGAAATACCTCTGAATGTTCCAAATCAGCTGACACAGACATAGAAAATTAAGGGGTAATCAATCTCAGTGTTTTATCTTTACTCATTATTCACACCATAAATTCTTGATCCAAATATAATCTTATTTTATAAAACTATTTCCTTAACATACCATCAAGAAGAATAAACACCTCCTGTAAAATAATTACCTTTGGGATATGAAAGAAAATGTAAACATTTTATTTGGCAGTTGTTTCTGAACACATGAATAAATAAATGGAAAATTACATATTAATATTTCTTTTTGGAGTAACAGATACCATTAAACACTTATTTATACATCTTCACTGCAAAGAACAGTTACACAATTAAATCTGTCCTATAAAAGATAACTTCCCACATCACTGAATTAGACAGTTAGGGTTGGCGTACTGGTAGTGCTTGGTTCTAGCAGTCTCAATGTTTAAAAGGCATTCATTTGCAAATGTGATAAGAAGAGTCATCATGCATTGAGTTCATCCAGGTCATGTATTGTAGAAAGTTTCTGGTAGCAGCCACAGGATTTGGTGTCTCATGCGCTTAAGTCAACTATCACATGTTTGTAAATCTGTGTGTTTCCCTTAAAACTGGAAGCAAAAAGAAAATTACGCTTATTAATGGACACATGTGTGAATGATCTTGGTGCCTGAACATTTAATTCCTGAAATTTCACAAATTTGGCTTTCTCTGCATCCCAGTTATACACTTGAGTAAAGGAGTAATCACTTCCAAGAATTGCATATTGGTAATTATTTATCTGAAGTGGCTGGAACACCATAGATCCTCGCGATGGCATCCTCTGAATATCCTGGAATGAGGAGCCTCCCCATTTCATGACTTTGGAATCACCAATGAATCTTGTCAAGCAAATGTATACATCACCTTTCACTGAGAAGTGCTTTACTGCATAGACATCTTCCATGTTAGGAATATCAGTTTGGTTAGTGAATAATTGTGTTGCTTTGTTCCACTGGTAAATTACAGGACGCTGGGAACTACTGGACAGGATTAAATGAGGCGTTCTAAGTGTCAGAGGTGTTCTGGCTATTTCTAAATATTCCACATCAGTGTCCCTGTACCAGGCATGTAAGGATTGATGGGAGTAGAATCCATTTCCGTTCCATTTATAAATGGTAGTAAAACCAGCTTTTGAACTATCAGCAACAACAAAGTACCAGTTGTTTTCAATCTTGAATGTTTCTATGTCGTTGGGTTTTCGGATTTTGAGAATTTCAATATCCTGGATTTTTATGAATTTGTTTGCAAAACCATCTCGCTTATAGATATGAGAGCCACCAAACAGCTGGGCCACAATAACATACAGCTGAGTTTCAATGACTATAGGCTTGCACACTACAGTGGATGTGCCTGGGAAGAGACAAATGAGAGATTAGTTGTGTGAGTATCCTCTGTGGAACAGGTAAGCATGCTGGCTGAGGCCATATAACTGCTACCAAAAATCAGCCTGAGACAATAGGTTTCTTGGTTGATTAGACAAGGTCAAGCTCCAAGGCCAGTAGCAGTAGTATCTTGAAGTTCTGTGCCTTTTTACCTCACAAGGCCTTGTTATGAATAATAAATGTGTTACATCACACACAAACTGCTTTAGGTGCTCAGGACACATAGACATAGTCTGAATTTTCTCTGTTTGCTTCTTGCAGAAAGAAAAGCATTGCTTTCCCTGACACATAAATTAATCATAGTAATTCTAATTAAAAGCCACCAGTTATTGAGAATTTACTATGTGTTTCATCAAGTCATTTTTATTAAATGTTCCCAACAATTGTTAGAGATAAATATTATTATCTTCTGTTTTCCAGATGAACAAACTGGATCTCAGACAGGGTTAACTCCTGATGCCAGATGGGAGAGTTGGGATTCAAAGCCAGGCCTACCTACCAGCATCTTTAGGACATTAAATGAAGCAGAGGCAAGGTTAGCTATATCAGAGATGCAGTTTGGGCCAGGATCCCACAAAGTTCTAGAATCACCCTGTGAGGTCTAGAGTTATGGTTTGGACAATTTCTAGTTCTCACTGAAATTGGGTTGTTCTAAATGTGAGCTATTCCCAGCCATAGAAAAACTGCTACTCACTATAGAATTCCCTGACGAAGACAGCAGACACTACTTGTCACTTTTGTAGCACTTTAGGTTGCTTTTTGCAGGAAAGAATAGAGAGGAAGAGAGATCCTTGAGAAAAGTGAAAGAGGTACCATGTGGGGTGATGCTCCTGAAAGTTATTTTGGGAAATCTCAGTTAAGGATAAGGAATCTGTTGGTGGCCTTGGTTGGCGTCCTTTTTCTAAGAGTTTGACATTTATCAATAGTCTGTGATCTCTTAGAGGGAGGGTAGTTTTAGAAAATTGAAAGACAGCAGAGAAAGTTTAAACTCCAAGCTTTAACCAACTACAGCACTAGGGATTCTGAGGTAGAAAGTTCTACATTAGCTTTTTTTCTGTTAATTGGTTCCACCCACAGGCCAAATTGTTTTTATTTGTGACTCTTTTCAGAACTAAACTAATTATGTGACCTTGGAAGAATCATTTACTTCTCTGGGGTTCAGTTTTCTTGATCCTGTACAATGAGGGCTTAGAATAGATCAGGGATAGTCAGTTTCATCACATGTACCATCAGTGACTGACTGACTATGACTACCTGAGAGCTTGTGCTGAGAACCAGTCTGTCGCTGTCTGCACTGCAGAAGAAAGTTCTATGCTGAGTAGCAATGTCTATCTGCAGAGAACACAGTCACCTTACATCTTACATAAATTTGTCATCTGATACGGCTTGGATATTTATATACCTCCAAAATTCATGTTGAAATTTAACCTCAATGCAACACTATACAAATCTGAGGTCTTCAGAGGGTAATTACATTATAAGGATAGAGCTCTCATGAATAGGATTAAAGCCTTATAAAGAGCTCCAGGAAAGCGATTTAGCCCTTTTTTGTCCTCATTGTGGCGAGGGAGCAAAGAGAAGATATCATCTTTGAAGCAGAGAGTAAGTCTTTATAAAACACTGACTTTGATAAACACTGACTTTAATCTTGAACTTCTCACATTTCAGAACTGTGAGAAATACATTTCTATTGTTTACAGATTACTCACATAGTTCTTTGTTATAGCAGTAAGAATAAGCAAAGTCATCGTCCTAGGTGGGATAAACTTTGAGGTGCCTTCTGACAATTTGCAAATGTATGCTTTGTTTCCCCTTCAAGTGCTCATCTGAGGAGTCACCTAAAGCAACTGATGTACTGGACACAGGTCAGAAGAACCCGGTTTACATTACATGAAGCTCTGCTGCAGTCTGTTGGAAACCTTAAGGGAACTTCTTCCTTTAAAAAAAGGATTCTAAAAGGATCTTAGTTTGAAGGGGTTCCTCTATTTGGGTAACCTTAGTCTCAAATAAGTCCCAGACTATTTTGAGGATGACTGGGGATGGTGGTTACCAATAAAATCTAATTATGATCCTTTGTACCTTATATGATGAGTGACCTGTTATGGGGAGACTGGAGAACTCTTAGGAGCAGCTTGGAGGTTTACATGCTAAAGCTAATGTAAACATTTTAGAATTGTTCTAACATTTGTGACAATTTTAAAAACTGTTGAAGAGAGGAAGAAATTATGAGATCACCTGAGTAATAGTTTTCATGGAATAAATTGGATTCTATGACCAAGTTAAATGTGAAGAATACTGAAAATCAGTTTGTTCACTGCAAGACCTCTCAGAACCTATAATGTAGATGATACGAATCTCTAAGTGGGACATACGGTTTATAGATTTATTGAACTATAAAACTTTGCTGCAAGGTATACATTAATATTTTGTAAAAGAAATGTTCGTGTAACAGAACTTGAGATGTGTTTAAATGAAAAAACCTTATTTCATAGTTAAGAAAAAATGAGACCAGTGAGAATGAGTGGTTTGCACAGCTAGAGTATAAATCAATATTTTTTGAAAAAAAAAATCACCTTTTATTATGTATTTAGTGTTTTGGTACCCATATTCACATTATCTTATTAACGACTTCATGAGTTAGGTATTATTTGCAAGTAAAGAAATGAAAGCTTAGAGGACAATCCCGACTTACTTAGTAAATGGTAGACTTTTGATTCAAGTGATTTGTGAACTTACTCAGAGCACTCCATTCCACACATCTGGTCCTACTGCCCTTGACAAAAGCTGTTTAGTTTCCCACTCAAAACTTTATGAGGCTTTTCATACCTGTAATGTTGTCATAATTCCGGAAAGTCTTTTCTACATGGTCCCATTCAAGGAAAATGCATTTTCCAGTAAAAGGTTGAGCAATGACAACGTACTCATCGTTCATATAAGAAAAAGTATCTATGGATAGTGACTGGTAAGGCAGGTCTTGAGACTTTGCAAATTCTGCAAAAATAGAAAATGTTGATGAGCAATTTTGATGATGATGTGCTGATTTTTACACCTTTTTCTTTGGCTAGATCTTAAATACCCATAAGATATGTTTATTTTCAAGAAATAGTAAAATAACATTTTTATTTTGCTTTTAAACACATGACGTTTTAGGGGTTCATAATTTTTTAAATTAACTTGCTGAGTTGGTTTTTAAGATATTAAAAAAATCAGTTCCTACACATACAAAAAAGTACTTGTTATTTTAATTTCATGTTATAAATTGATTTTGAGGACATTACCTGTAATGATGCAATCAAAATCCTTGGAGGAAAGACTATTGATTTTGCGCTTCTTGTATTCTGGGGGGCCTTCACAGTAGATGTCTTCGACAGTTGCATTGGTATGGCTGAGCCATTCCACCAGCCATTTCAACTTACAGTCACAATTAAATGCATTTCCTCTCAGGTCCCTGAAAGACAAACCTTTGTTGCTTTTGCAGTACAAGGGCCCTGGCATGCTACAAGCATGATTTCTTCAGCAATTGGCCCTTGCAAAATTACCTTGCTGCATTTTTCATTGTCCTATGGTTTGCCTTGGATTTGACTGACCACTTAGTTTGAGCTCAGAGAGTGACCACAACGCACTTCTAAAGGCCACCCTAATCAATGGAGCCTCACAACTGACTCTCTTTTGGATTCAAAGGCAGTTTATTCTAGGGCAGTGCCATCTAATGAAATAGTATGGAAACTACATGTATAATTTAAATTTTTCTAGAGCTGCACTAAAAATGTTTTTTTAAAAGGTGTAATTAATAGCATGTTTTATTTAGTTTGATACATTCAAAGTATTATAATTTGGATGTAGTCAATATTAAAAAATTGAGATATTTTACACCCTCTTTTATACTGTCTTTGAAGTCCACTGTGTGTTTTACATTGACAATATATCCCAAGTCAGATGCTAAATTTTCATTGGAAATATGAGTTTTGATTTAATAAAATTTATAGTTAAAGCAGACTCACATGCTTAATTATTCCAAATGTACTTAAAAGTTTTTCAATAATTGAACTAAAGAGCAATTTTTAAATTTAAATTTTAAAAAGCTAAGGAGTGGAGGTGTAGCTCAGTGATACAGCATGTGTGAGCATCTGAGTCCTTGGGTTCACTCCTCTGGGCTGCCCTCCCACAGCAAAGTAAAGCTTATAATTCAGTTGCCTTCCTAGCACATTTTAAGAACTAAGAGACTGTAAGTGTCTTGAAGGACTAAAGGACAGAATATAGTGATTATTGTATCAATTTAATTAAATCAAGTGAGTTCTTTGCTTTTTTTTTCTTTCTCACAGGTATAATTCTGATCCTATTCTATGGTCTACAAATTTTTTTAATAGGAAATGACTTTGCCACAGTACGATTAATGTATGCAAATAACAGCTCATGCATGTATTAAATGATACAGCATAGTTCAAATTTTTCACAAATGACCCCAACTCACCAAGTTCTCTGGTTTTTGTTTTTTGTCATTGCTTCTGTTGAGGAATTTCATTTCCTTTTATGGTTGCACAGAATTCCTAAGATAGGTCCTGCCTACTCTGCATGCAGCACATAAATAATTTCTAAATACTCTAGCATTTAACGGTGTTTTTTAGGGGATACATTCAAGAAAACCAAGAAATCCACTAAAAGACAAACTGGCCTGGATCCTTACAGATTTAAGATAATTCTCTATTTGGGCACATTATAGTAAGCCAAGAAAAAGTCAAACCCTTTATGGGATTCTCTAGAGGGACTGAGCCAATTTGAAGTGTTAGACTGACACAAAGATGAGATAGAAGGTTCTCATGAACTATATCCCAAATTTCAAAACATTCCCTGAACAGCCTTCATATTCCAAGAGTACTCTGATCAAGAATAATGAATGTCGACTCTTCTGGGCCATTGGAAACCACAGTAGATAGCTCATTTGAGTGGGACTCTTTGAGAAGTGTCTTGATTCTTGTACTCTCTTGGAAACAAACCATCATTCAGGAATTGGGATTTCAAGCATTAAGGAGGGACTGAGGGACTACTGCAGAGAACAAAGAAAACTTTTCATTAGCTTCCTGAAGTTAAATAGTGGGCTTAGAAGCAAATACTTGACTTAGATTTCATTTGTTATTGGAGAAAAGCTGTTTTGAAATATATACTCTATAGCAGTGGTGGCAGGAATATAGCATGCATATTATTTTTTTAAGATAAAGGATATTAATGTATGAATTTTTTCTAAACTAAAACCCTCAGTTTTCAGGTTTAATTGCAGCATTGGCATTTTGCAATAAATAAGTCTGTTTGGGGTTACAGTTCAGGCATTTATTTCCAAAAGGTTCACCGTTACTGATCTATAGCAAAGTACCTGAAGATTAAAAAAAAAAACAAGGCTTTGTTTTCATATATTCTTTTATTTGTTCCTGTGTTCTACTTTACAGCATAGAATACCCTGTTAATGTTCTGAAAGGCCACTTAATGAAGCTAAATTGCTTTTGAGAGAGTTAGGCATATAGTGCTTGCTTTGATTACAGCAAAATATACAAATCCCTTGCAAAAATCTTTCACTCTGAGGCTTAAAAGTCAAAGTTTGAAAGCTCTTTTGTTTGAAAAAGGGTCAAAAATAATTAAGTTCATTCCCTTCCTGGGGTTTAAGCCAAATTCCTGGGGATTAAGTTTAGAGTTGTTGTTCAGTCTAATGAGAGAAAAGGCAAACTTTCCTCCCTTCCCCCATTTCCTGCCCTGGTTCTCGGCGGCCCGACCAGCCCATGGGTGTAACCTTTCATCTTACTCTGTCAGTTTCCCAGACTTCTGTATGTTTTTTCTTTGGAGCCCGATTTCCTGGACCCCATGAGAAAAAAAGGGTTCTTGAAATTTCTGACAGTCTCCTCTTCCCAGCCCTCTGAGACCCGTATGTCACCCTGCGCAGACAGACATATACTTTATCAAAGTAATGCATGGGTACCGTGTATTCAGAATTCCCAGAGGTAAATACATGGAAAATTTATATGTCTGTGTGAATTTAATAGTGAGGCTGATGTAAAATAAAAATTTCAAATTTCTGATCTAATTTTAAAGCCAATTAAAAATCCTAGTCATCAACACCAAATTTCCTTGTTAATTACTACCAATTAATTGACGATATCTTAGGTCCTCTTACACATTTGTTAAAGAATCCAGGCCTTTGAAAATATCTTTTGGGAGTGTCTGGAGATTGTTGTTTGCGAGGCTCCTGGAAAAAAAGAAGAATGATATGAACCATGATAAATTAAATAAATACATTCAATAAGAAAGCATAGTTATGAGTCTCTTGTAGTTTATGAAATTGCTTGCACTATGGTACTTTTCAGTCTTCCAAGATGCTACTTAGATTGTGGCTGTTACATTTGCAATTTCTGACCTCTTTGTTTCAATATCCATTCAATATTTATACAACACTTTTTACTGGTTAAAGGGAACAATAATGACAAAAACAACCAAACAAGATACTAGATACCACTCTGTCATTTAGAATAGAACAAGAGATTCACATCAGCTATCTGGTCTCCAGTGCAGCTCACTGAGCTAGGCCAGAGTCCTCTCTAATGTCCCTCGCCTGCCCTGGGTCTGTCTTCTCCCTTTCTGTCCCTCACTAGCTTCAGAGCACAGCTAAACTTCCAATCAATAACCAACAAGCAATGCCTTCTCCAACATGCACTTTCTTTTTTCTAAAATACATGTATTATCTCTTTTTCTAATTTTAGAAAAGCCTTTAGCCCTATTCATTTTACCTCAGAAAATAGTATTTTACAAACCCTATCAAATTCATCCTCTTGATCTTTTTCTCTTCCAGTTGGCTCTTACTTGTCACAGGAATTGTTTTCTCCTTTTTCTATTTGTTCCTCCACAATTCCTAGAATGATTCTAGTCAAGATTAACAAATAGGAAGCAATCTTAAGTACATACTAGAGAAACCCAGATAATAAAGTGCTGAGGCTGTGCAATTAAGAAGGTACTATGTACTAGAATTTTCTGTTTTTAGCAAGCACATATTACATATATTTCATAAGGATTTTTTCAACAATACAAATAAAAACTAAGGAGAAGAACTTATACTATTGGCCTCTAATGCCCTGATAAATCTTCTCAAAAGACCTCTCAAAAGTCTTTTATGTCTTCCAATTAAATATGAGATTTTTCAAGTACAAATATTCAAGACTTAGAACTTTTCTTCTTCTTCTTTTTTTTTTTTTTTTTTTTTTTTTTTTTGGTCTTTTTGAGACAGGATTTTGCTAGGTAGTTCAGGCTTGCCTTCAACTTACTTTGTAGCCCAGGCTGGCCTCAAACTAGCAATGATCCTCCTGTCTCAGCTGAGTTCTGGTATTACAGGTGTGAGCTACCACATCTGACCACTTATTTTTAGTTTATCATTTTGCTTGGAGTTTTTTTTAGAAATCATTACTGTGTGAACATGCATCATAAGAATGGGAATTGACTCAGAAAGTTCTAATCTCTGTGATGGCCAATTTTGTGATCAAAGGCATAGCTTTGGAATTATTCTGAGCTAGGTTTAAATCCTGACTACCACCTACTGGTTTTGTGACTTTGATTTTGCAACTTTTCTGAGACAGCGTTCTTCATTTTGGAGATAATAGTGCCTTTTTATATAAGATCATTGGAAAAAGAAAATAAGATAGTGCAGAACAGTACCTGGTACTCAAACTACTCTCCATAAAGACTACCTTCAAGGAAGAAGGGAAAGGAGGAGGGCTCCCCTGTGCACACTGTCCAGGAAACAACACTTAGAAAACTGACAGACAAGTGAGTGAATAAATGTACTAATAAAACACAGATGAGACTATTCAATAAAATATTTCCACAATTCACCTGACTATTTTTTAAAAAAACTTTTCCATGAAGTTGAGGATCAAATCAAGGGCCTTGTGCATGCTAGGCAGTCTCTGTCACTGAGCTATACTCTTTGTCATGACTGGTGTTTGAATGAAGAGGTTTCCTCATTCCTTGAACCAGTTCAGAGTCATGTTTCAATTTAGTTTCTGGCACAATATGTCTTAAAATTCTCATGCTAACTTCTGCTACCGTAGGTCCTCTGTCTCCCTCACCGGAAAATAAACTGCAACTGGCTGGAGGTTGGATTACAGGTCAACAGGCATAAAATATAACAGTAAAATCCTGAGTTACTTCCTCCCATGGGACTATACAAGAAGAGAAACCATGTTTGGGTTCCTGTCTAAGGGGAATAGTTTTAGTATATGTGCTACTGAAGTGAGCACTGAGGTGAATAGTTTTAAATAATGCCAAATTTGGAAGTTTTATTTTCTTCCCAAAGCAGTAGAGCTCCAGACCTCATATACCTAAAGTTGAAGATTAACCTCAGAAATATCTGTCAAGGTAGGGATAGAGACTTAGGGAGCTATGTGGCTCCTGGGATGAAGAACTGGGGTTATTGTATGACAAGATGGAAGACTGGGAGATGAGAAAAAAGCAGGCCAGCCTAGTTGTGGAATGAGGAATTACGTGTCTTGAGACCTTCTTGCTATAGAGAGGCTCTCAGCTGTGAGCTAGAGGGCTGTAGGGAGGGAGTAAGGCAGTGTAAGCTGTGCAAGAGAAATGGTTTTATGGATTTACTGCACTCAGTGCTAACCCTTTGCTGCTCAACTGCCCACAATTCAGTGAAATACTGATTCACAAAGCGTTGCTCTAAAGGGGATAGGATAGAGAGGTCCAGGCTTAGAGAGCAATAGTCCTGTGAGGGATGCCTGGATTTGTAAAAGAAGAGGAAAAAGGAAAGCAAGACCCAGAACTGGGAGGAAGGCTTCTAGATGCCAAAAGCCCAGGAAGTAAAGTTCACATAGCTTCGCTAAGTCTCTAAGGATCCAGTGACAGCGAGTCCCACGTGAATGAGCAGAAAGCGAGCAGAGGGTGTTGGACAGAGAATCATTTAGGGACACTGACAATGCCTGGAAATTATTCTGCAAAAAGTGTAGCAGGGTTCTGATATAAAGCTGCTTTCAAGTTCGGGCTGGTAGTGGTGGTTAAAGAATGCATCAGATATGGAAGGAGCTCAGTGGAATCTGCAAGCAATAGGAATTGTATGAAATGGGCCTCTGGTAATGAGCTGTTTCCTAGCTGTGGCCGATGAAGAGAATTTACCAAGTCACAAGTAAATGAAGAGAAACTGGAAATATTTGCAGCCCAAATGATAAGTTGGGAAAGTTATTTGATTCAGCATTGTCAATATCAGCAAAGGACTGAAATCAATATTCATGTCCATTTATAAGGGGCTATGTAAATAAATGACAATTTATACTTTATGTGAAGTATTTTGTCATTTTTCAAAGAATAGGGTAGTTCTTTATGATTTAACGTGAAATCATGTTCAAGTGAGCTGAAACATGGAGATTAGTATGTGGAATGTAATTCCCTGGAGGAGAAAAGACACATTTTTATAGGGACCTAATGAAAGCCCTATAAAGCAATATAAAACAAATGGTTGAGGTTACATTTTGAAATGAGTTTACTGTAATCATTCATTTTGCTCTGGAAGTGTCTGGATTGTACGATTTTTTAAATTAGTCAGCATACATTTTTATTTTATTATTGGAAGAAAAAAATAATAAACTTAATTTTTCAAAAAGGCCCTGTTGGGGCTGGGGATTTAGGTCAGCGGCATAAGCGCCTACCTTGCAAGTTCGATGCCCAGTACCAAAAAACAAAAACAAAAAAACCCCCCAAAGGCCCTGTTGCTTAATAAATACACGGTGCTGTCCAGTGAGGATTCAATCATTCTAAGTCAATCACTTAGTTGCATTCGTCAGGCTCCAAAGCTACACAGGTAGTATGGGAATCATGACCAGAACTCAGATGTCTAAGTGATCAGGGCAAGTGAACATTTTTCATGAGACTGCCTACAGATTGGAGCTACCTGTTTCCTCCAAAGTTTTCACATGCTTTCAGGCTTTCATTCTTTGAGGACCACAGGAAGACTTGGCTTGGAGCCTATCCTATGGATTCTATGCTTGGCTAAAGCCAAGGTGATGATGGACTGGTACCTCAGAAACTTCCATGGGCTTTGAGGCTTTCAGGGAGATTCTCAGAGCAGAATGATGCTAAGGGCACCAGGCCAGGGTCACTAGGAAGGAAAAGCTCTGCTATAGCTACACAGTATTTGGTTGTTACACATAAAGGGTAAAGAAAATGAAATTTGATAACATTTAGTTGACCCAACATCTAGAGATAACTGAGACAACACTATTCGGATTGAGATTAGAGTTATTTGGGGGGTTGATTGTTCGAGTTAATTGATGCTTCTGGTTTTACTTTTCCCTTAAGTTTTACAACCAGAAAGCAAAATAATTGGATTAAGTGTTGTGTTGTAATTTTGCCCTTCCTGCCATCTCACTTCCAGCCTCACAGAGCAATGACTTAATATTATTATTCCCTTTCTATTAAAGATATTTTATAAAACTAGTTGTAATTATAGTTCCCTACATCACTTACTTTATTAGTGCCTTTCTGGATTTCTGCTTTTGACACCTGAAAATATAAGTTTCACCGATTTGATAATTAACATGGGATGACCAAAGATAGTGAGAGGTTTGAGAAACATTTTACCACTGATAATTTTTTGAGGACGATTCTGCTGTGAGTATGGCATAGATGTTCCTCTTTCCACAGTATTCTCAAGACCTAGCATTGTGACTGGCTCAGTTAGCCTTGGTAGATCCCTTTAAACAAGTGAATGAAAGAGGCAGTCTACAGTGGATGAGAGGAGAAAGACCAACGCAGACAGAAGAAAGAGCAGTGGCTGTTCCTCTCAGGTTCCTGTACCAAGACACTGAGTACAGGAGAGAGTGCAAAGTCTTGCAAATTACCCTTGCCGGCCACCATCTCATGTGGGCCTGCTCTAACAGCAAGACAAGACCGCCCTTCCCTCAGCCTCACTGTGGTGATTATTCCGGGGTGACATAGTGGCTCTTGAAAGTGTGACTTCAATTCAGAGTCTGCTTGAGAACTATCCTTTAAAACACGCAAGATAATGTACAACTGAAACCAGTTGAGTAGGAGTGAGCATTCTCAAGTGCAGACTGCCATACTTTTCTGACAGAAATGACAACCATTCCCCACTTTGGTGTTCTGATGGTTTACCCGAGAGAACCTCTGATTATGGGTGTGGAACCTACTGGAAAGTCTCTTCTCTAAGACAGATCAGACTGGCTCAGCCAACACGTT